ACAGCGCCTTGCTCGTCGTAAAGGATCAACTGTGGCCAGCCTATTGAAAGCTTGCAAGGAGGAATGGAAGAAACTTCCTCTCTCCGTGATCCTACGAGCCCTTCTCTAATGGAAATACCAGTTCCGAGCTTTGTACAAAAACCACGGCAAGCCTTTTGACCGTTGTATGTCATTGTACAAAAAGAAGTAAGGATTTCTTGGGTGTTAAAATGTGTTCAAATCAGGCGTGAATAGGTCTTGTAATAACAAAAGATTACACGAAAATTACATTACAGGGCGTTTCATTTAAATTGTACATCTCTGAACGCTCATATCTCTGAGAGGACGCAACCGTTCTTTACGAAATTTGACCACAATATATAGCAACCTTTACCAAATTATTGGACATAGTTTTTTAATCGCAGCGCCATCTATTGAGTTGAAACACCGATTCTGACAAAACCTCCGAAACCAAGATCGTATCAACTTGATGAAATCTTTTAAAGCCATCATTCGCTAGATAATGCCTTCATCCAGTGGTGCTAAAAATTTCATGATTGTATCTCATCTCCTTACTAAGATATCAATCGTCAAACCATAGCCACTTCACCCATCCGCTTGCACTTAATACTCTCAATGCCATGGATTTTTCCAATGTTTTGGCCTGAGCCCCTGTTACCATCGCACTGACGGATGAGATCTACAGCGCAGGGCAATGACGGCTTTATCGTTACCCAAGATGAACCAACGTGGAGGTAGCCATCGTTCATCCCATAGGGAGTTTTGGAAGTGGTTCCCCTTGCCTCCACGTCATCCACCATCAAGAATTCGCAATCAGGAGATTATCCTTTGTGAAGCTTGATTTGCTTACCCTCAATCTCATTGCAAGTGAGTGGCACGCCTTCTGAACCATATCCTGAGAGATGGTGTCGAACTCCTCCTTAATGATTTCTTTCAACTCAGGAATATTCCGAGGAGAACGGGCGAAATCCTGATTCTTGAGATATCCCCAGAGGAAGAAATCAGGGGGAGTCAAATCTGGAGATCTTGCTGGCCATTCGATAGTTCCACGACGAATAATCCAATCCTGAAAGGTACAATCCAGAAAATTTCGAACTGTTTGAGCGTAATGGGGAGGAGCGCCATCTTGTTGAAAGGGGAGGCGTTCAAATTCCTCCCATTGGGAAATCACCGGAATGATCCCTTCGCTCAGCATTCGCAGGTAGGTGGCACCTATTATCGACTGATCGAAGAAGATCGGTCCAACCTTTATTGTCGACGATACCCCGCCCAAACCATCACCTTTTGTGCGCCCAAATTGTCTGCCTCAACGTATCGATTGGGATTTTGTGAGTCCCAATAAACACAATTGTGGCGGTTGACCGTTTCAGCCAGGCTGAATATCGCCTCATCACTCCAAAGAATGTTGTCTTTCCATGAGGGATCAGCCTGGTCACGTTCAAGAAAGAGTTCTGAAAATTCAACCCGACGGTCAAAGTCATCCTCATTAAGTTCATGAAGGAGCTTTAAATGATAGTGTTTGAACTTCAGATCCTTCTTGAGTATCCTCCACGCTGATGTTTTGGATATCCCGAGCTCAAGCCCGATTCTCTCAGACCCGGCATTCCGATTGGCCTCTGTGTGCACCAGTGCAGCCTCTTGCACCCTCTGAATATTTTCTGGGGTTCGCACTGTTGGCGTGCGCGACCTTGGATGGAGTACGGATCCGAATGTTCGAAAGTTTCGGTAAATGTTTGCAAAGACAGACCGACTGATTGCAACACGCATTGACAGATTCCAGATTGCCCTCAAAGTTCTTGAGGTCTCGCTGGCAGATTTTTTCTGCAAGAGATATTCCTCCAAAATTTCGATTTTTCCCTCTTTGGTGTAGTCACTAGCCATGGTATATCACTGACTAGGTGGCAAAGTCACGCTAACATTATCCCAGATTGTAAAATGCTTTGACCCATCTNTTTACTTTCCATCCCGTTTCCTTTGGGGAGGAATGTGTATGAGAGTAGTATTGGCCTAAGCGTCCTTCCATGGGGTACGCCTAGGCCTGAAAAATTAGTCTCCCTGAGCGTGTACACCACCTCTTCCGAAGTCTGAATTCCTCTGGAGTGAACAACGTAGCAATAACATACACTTCCTTCAACGACTGAGGAAGGAACGTAAGCATGAGAATGGCATAAGCCTACACCTCCCTTTAGGGGAGCTAGGCAGCAGACTCCTAACCTCATTTCTTCTGAGTTTCAGGGCTATAATTCCATTTCGACTATAAGGAACTTCGTCGTTAATTTTATATTCTGGCGAAAGAACTCTATCGGAGTCCCTTTTCTAAACTATTCTAAAGGTTCGATACAGTTGTCCATGAAAAAAGACGTCATTCTCTAAATGTAACCCGTAGTTATAATTTCCCGTTTCGTTGAAGTGTGAACATATTGAAGTGGGAGCATTGGCCTAAGCGTCCTTAAGTGACATAGCCTCCTTGTATCGAAATGTCAATGGAACACCATCTACAGTTTAATCAGTCCCCCTCCCCCCTCCCCAAAACATGTCCCCTGGGCATGGCCCCCAAACGTTGGGCATTCAAAGTTCGACTTTCTCTGGAGTCGACAGCCTATCAGTTATGCATGTTCCTTCGGTTATGTTAAAGGCAAGGTGTGCCAGAGAATGATTTAGGCCTAATCGTCTGTCTCAGGGTTGGACCTAGTCTTACAAAGTGAGACCCCCTGGAATGAGCCCCCAGGGCACTTACCCCCAAAGTTCGACAGCCATTTCCTTTCTCTCCTGCTTCCCTAAATGAAGAAAATATTTGAGAGTGGTATTAGCCTAAGCATCCCTCGATGGGGCAGTCCTGATCTTGCAAAATTATTCCCCCTTTCCTCAAAACATGCCCCCTGGGCATGGACCCCCAAAGTTGTGCATTCAATGTTAGGCTGTCGACTCCAGAGAAAGTCTATCAGCTATGTACGTTCCTTCCCTTTTGTTGAAGGCGAGGTGTGCCAGAGAATGGTATAGGCATAAGCATCTGTCTGAGGGTTGGACCTAGGCTTGCAAAGTGAGACCCCCTGGAATGAGCCCACAGGGTACTTACCCCCAAAGTTGGAATTTTTCTGGAGTCAGCAATCTAACAGCAATTCGTGTACTAAGTTTCATCCTCTCATCATGTCTAGAACATAGTTAGAATTAGCGTCAGTCAGTCACGATCGTCTATATATCTAATATACGAGTTTGTTTGCCCTTCGGGCATACAAACTCGCTGTGGTCGCGCCTTCGGCGCTCCATTTTCTTTGAAAACAAAACGTCCCCAATAAATATCCCCCCAAAATTCCAATATTTTGTAAATTTGGCATTTTTCCTTAGTTCAGTGCATCAGGAGACATATTCTTGCCAGGTTTCAGCTTTCCACGTGCCACCGTTTGATTGAAGCGAAGAGACCTATTTGAAAATATGTTTCCCGAGCAGGTTTGCCTCTGTGGCATGTATCATCAAAGTATAATTTTTCCTGAACTCAGCATGCGAATAGCGACTTAGTCAGCTACTCACGATCCTCTATATATAATTTTAAAAAATTTTTCTTTACTCAACTATCATCAGGTTCTTCTTGGGCAAGAATTAACATTCCAGCGAACTCTTTTTTGTTGGATAGGGAAAATTCGAGAAAATACGCCTTTTGCGACATATGTGCTCCCAGGCGTTTTAATCGAAATGTACTTTCCTTTATTACGGAAATCAATCCTCAGAAAACTACATGACCGCAAAGTTTCAACCTATACGTTTTCCCTTTTCGCAGGTGAAAAAACATGTTTGGAAAAGCTGACGCACCCAAAAGCTATGTCAGGAGGGGATGCACAATGAAAGCTAAAATCGTTCTCTGGCACACCTTGCCTTTAACAAAACCGAAGGAACATCCATAATTGATGTGCTGTCGACTCCAGAGAAAGTCGAACTTTGAATGCCCAACTATTGGGGGCCATGCCCAGGGGACATGTTTTTGGGGAGGGGGGAGGGGGACTGACTTTGCATGCCTAGGTTCAACCCATCCATGGATGATTAGGCTAATACCACTCTTATACATTTTCTTCATTCAGGGAAGCAGGAGAGGAAAGAAATTGGTATGTTATTCCGCACGTCAGATGAAGTTCGACAGAAAAGGTACGTGCTCTGAGGGGCCTGAGTTAGGATGTCAATAGGTAACCCTTGGACAGGCGTGGAGGCCAACACCAATCTTACTCGAGCAATTCGCATTGAGGAATTTCTCGGCCCCTTTGACCGGGAATACCTCTGCCTTAGCCTGACATACTAGGCGTTTGACTTATTCTGTTGGGCCATTGGTGAAGAGAACACGAGTTGACGCGTACAGGCACGCTTGGAGATTTGAATGGGTTCTATTTATTTTTCTGGCGGGGAAACTGTAGATGGTGTTCCATTGACATTTCGATACAAGGAGGCTATGTCACTTAAGGACGCTGAGGTTATGTCACTTAAGGACGCTTAGGCTATGTCACTTAAGGACGCTTAGGCCAATGCTCCCACTTCAATATGTTCACACTTCAACGAAACGGGAAATTGTAACTACGGGTTGCACTTAGAGAATGACGTCTTTTTTCATGGACAACTGTATCGAACCTTTAGAATAGTTTGGAAAAGGGACTCCGATAGAGTTCTTTCGCCAGAATATAAAATTAACGACGAAGTTCCTTATAGTCGAAATGGAATTATTGCCCTGAAACTCAAAAGAAATGAGCTTAGGAGTCTGCTGCCTAGCCCCCCTAAAGGGAGGTGTAGGCTTATGCCATTCTCATGCTTACGTTCCTTCCTCAGTCGTTGAAGGAAGTGTATGTTATTGCTACGTTGTTCACTCCAGGAATTGAGACTTGAGGAAGTGAGGAATTTAGACTTTGGAAGAGGTGGTGTACACGCTCAGGGAGACTAATTTTTCAGGCCTAGGCGTACCCCATGGAAGGACGCTTAGGCCAATACTACTCTCATACACATTCCTCCCCAAAGGAAACGGGATGGAAAGTAAATAGCTGTTGGCTTGCAATGCTACAGATACAGTTCGACGTGGAGGTACTCTGATGGGAATGATTCATAAAGCCAACCCTTGGACGGATGCTCAGGTTTACATCGACCTTGACTCATTGACATTGAGGAACATTTCAGCCTCTCTTAGCATGCGGTGCGAGGCCTTTGTCCTACGCCTTACAAGGTCATTGGTTAGGTAGATGCGTACTGGTATGGTATATATACCATGGATGTAATATGACGTCTCTATGAACATTTTCTAAAACAAATTTCTTTTAAAGCACGAGCGCCGAAGGCGCGTCATGTTTGTTTGCGCGAAGTCGCAAACAAACTCGCTAGTGTATTATACAGCCAGAAAATTCGTGATGTCTAGAAGACAGGTCGTATTTCACTTTTAGTGCTGGTAAAATGGCTTCTTGACGACATGAAAAGGTTTGAAATGTTGATTCTGAGGTGTAGGTTTTACCGTTGAGAATCTTTTTTACTTCGAAAGCACGAAAGAAATATTTTATAAACGGGTCAGGGTTAATAATGGAAGCGTCTTAGACACAGCATTAATTTAGAGGTCATTTAATGCATTTAAAGTATCAATGTTCGATTCCCACTCCTTCCATTGTTGCAAAAGTCATGTCATAGTATAATTTATTGTGGCTTTATATTCCTCCTGGTTGGGCTTTGCCATTGCCCGCCTGATGCTCGCAATATAAAGGAAGGGAATATTCACCTTTCCCCGAGAATTTTCCCCAATAAGTTTTTCTATTGATACATACAGCATCTACTGTATTATACCAAAACTGTATGAATCAGTTTTCCTTTAGTGTTAAGTCACCTATTCTTCTATCTCAAAAAGTGTCCGGAATGGTGCCAGCACCCTAATTTCATTATTTTCCCTGAACTCATTATTCCAAAAAAAAAGTTTCAGGAAGTTAAACATGTATATTTCCTGTCTCACTGCAGCGAAGAACGATCTGGCATATCGATCTGAAAGAAATATCTTTATTATTTCCAAGAAGTACAAGGTATAATGTTTTCTTTTTAAATATCGATCCATTAGGTATTTGTTTCTCAAGTTTTAATTTTCCTCAGCCGCAATGGCATCTGCTGCAGCAAACTTTTTCTTTAGAAACGTCCTCACTTAAAAATGTGTGTTGAGGAAATGACCATGAAACTTGACCCTTCCTGGAAAGGTCACATATTATCTTTTGATATTATCTTTCCTGGAAGGACTTCCTTCTCCATTTTCTGTTTCTTCTTAAGATTCATTTTTCACTGAGAGAAATGTTTGAATGCCTGTTCTGAGGGTATTTGTCTCAAACATAGGGTTTTCACTGACATTGTTATCCAAATAAGAATTTGCGTTCCAAATGGCTTCGTATGGCATCTCCATTTTGTTAAATCAGTACAATACTGAAAATATGTCTCTCTAAATGAAACGCCTGAGGGGATGAATCGCAATATAAATATGAATTGGATGTCCCAATGTAAAGAACTATACCTTTCCACAGCTTCACAATATCCTAACCCCCTGGGCTGCAATCAATAAATTTTGCAGTTCATCCTCCGATAAACATTTTAAAATTTTGTCTTCATCTCATAATGAATGCCACATTTCATGAAATAGCCTCCTGATGAGCAATACATTCATTTGCAGGTCCTGCCATTCGCCATGCCTGGTGTTCCTGTTGTTGGAATTGACCTGGGAACAACCAAGACATGTGTTGCCGTATTTGAGAATGGAAAATGTGAAATCATTCAAAATGAAAGGGGAAACCGAACAACACCCTCCTACGTTGCATTTGACAACATGGAGCGTTTGGTGGGAGACATAGCCAAGAGTCAAGTCGAAGACAATCCTGAAAACACTGTTTACGGTCTGGTCAAAACTGATTGCATTCCATTTAGCTATATTCATATTACAGTACACTCTAGCTTAGGTAAAGTATGTGATATTGTTTTTCGTACGGGAGAGTGATCAGACCACACCTTATGATCACAGGGTACACTATATGCCTTTTAGAAGCAATTTTTCTCCAAACAGGTAAAATGAGGACCAGTGGCAGGATTCCCAGCGTCGCGAACTTTACAATTTTTGCGTGTACATACTACATGGTATCCAACATTTGGAGGGATGAAAAGCAAAGTGATCTATCAGCAAAAAATTTCTGAGAAATTTGTTTTGGTTTTTGTTCTCTTAGGACCTAGTTCCGTTCATAGAAAATTATAGTTTTTTTGGACGAAGTGATCTATCGATGCATACCACTTTTTCTCACTTTTACCAAGATGGTCACAGGAATAATCACTTATTCAGAGTGGAGCTCCAGCAAATACTTTTTTGCAGATGGACCACTTTGACTTTCAGCCCCTTTCATATCTCTGGCATTTGTTTTTTTTGTAATTAATCAGGAATGGATCATGAATGATGGATAATGTATTCAACCTATTCTAGGTTACATTCGTCGTTCGGTTGCAAGTAGGACATCTCGCGTTATTCTTCCATTGTATGCGGCATCGATAGATCACTTCGTCCAAAAAAACTATAATTTTCTATGAACGGAACTAGGTCCTAAGAGAACAAAAACCAAAACAAATTTCTCAGAAATTTTTTGCTGATAGATCACTTTGCTTTTCAGCCCCTTTCATATCTCTGGCATTTGTTTTTTACAAAATATTTAGCTTTAAGAGGGTTAGGCCTACCTTAAAAGTAAGGAACGTTCTACCTCGACACGTGATATCGAAATGGGCGAAATCGCCTCTTGATGTCACTAACTACCATGAACCTGGAACCTTGAACCTTGTACCTGAAATTAAGGGAAATTTAATGGAAACTTTGGAAATTATGTTCCAACCGACATAATTCGCACAGTATTGCTCTTTGTTCGGTAAATAACATTTTTCCACATGCCCTACATTCTGACTGATGTACTCTCGACATCAAACCAAAGTATTATTGATTACTGCTGCAATGTGTTACTCTCAATGGTGTTGATACCTTTCCTAATTATGTTCTTTAGGTCATCAGCAATCCTTTGGTTTTATGTGATTCACATTGCTTTTTAGGAAGCACTTTAGGACACATGTGTCGAATATAGTTCACCACTTAGTGTAGAGCTTCATCACTAAAATAAGCTAATATCACTCTAAGACTGTAATTGCACTCTGACACTCCCTGATTTGCATTATGGCGACTGCAGGTGTGTAAGTAATCGGATAGGTTTACCCTCATAATGCTACCATTCTAAGGAAAATATTCAATAAGGGAATATGTAAAGAAAAGTATTCCATCTTTAAATATATTTGGATATGGGGGGGGGTCCGTAAAATCAATGCATAATAAATAGAAGAGTGAAAATTGTTCACATCACGGAACAATTTAATACATGTACACGGCTGATTAGAGTTTAGTATCAACTAAGCACAACTTTTTTCCGATAAATGGTCAAGCAGATGTAATAGTTGATGAAGAATCGAGTTCTCAATTTATGATATATCACGAGCTATCTTACTTTGAAAACAGTCACCCAGTGGTATATTGGACCTTCACATATTGATGGTTTGATCATTTCTGTTCCATCTTAGGATCATCGCTGTACTAGAAGGGGTGCCCAAATATTAATACCTGGACATACCAGAACTCAATTAGTCTCCCCATACACTCAATGAGGTTTCTACAGAAAACCTACCTTTTATGGTAATGAGTCAAACATAAAAAGGCCAGAATTTGGTTGGATAAGTCGGAAGAACCTGACTCCTGCAGCAAGGGGTAAAAAAAAGGATTACAGCGATAATTTTCGGTAATTATCTCAATGCTTGACTTCGCCATTTTTAATGACCAAAAAACATCAGCTCTCCAAAAAAAACTGGCAAGGTCATTCAAACAAGAGACCATTTCATGAGAAAACCAATTTCAAACGCGTTAGTGTTGAACATATTATGCCTAAGCTACCAATACTTTCCTGGCGCTTTCTTTGGAATTACTCTCAAAGGGGAGGCCAAAAAAAGGAGCAGTACCATCGACTCATGAATATAGGCGGCCCAAAAACGGATATGTGGACTGGGAACGTGGTAACACTCGGTTGAAAGGAGACAGAACCCGAATATGTGCATTATGGCCAATTTGATTATCCGTGAATTTATAATTAAATTACAGATTATTATTATATTATTAATTATAATTATTATTAATTACAAGGAATTAAATTACATTAAATTACGAAGATGGAGAGAGAAAAATGCCTCTACCATAATTTATACTTAGAACGCTCGAACCGAAAATCAACACCTTGCTAGCTTATTATAATGGCATGCCAGCATAACATTCCATAAATAACACAGGACGGAGAGCCCACCACAGAAAACGTTAAAATGGCAGAAGTCCATGGATAAGGTTATGGCGAATATTTCATGGGACAATGCCGGCGTCATCTTAATTGCTTACCTACCAGAGGCCAATCCATCAACAGTGATTACTTTTCAACTCTCCTCCATGAAAGGCTCCATCCTGCCCCAAGTCGAATAAAGCTGGGAATCGTCGCTGCAGGCGTGATTATTCATACTTCAAGATTCAAGATTCAAGATAGCGATATCTAGAGGCAATTTCACTCATTTCGATATCACGTGTCGAGGTCGAGGGTTCCTTAATTTTATGGTAGGCCTAATCCTCTTAAAGCTGAATATAATTTTTTTCATTAATTTTTTTTGCGTATCCTGGTTGCTTACGGTCTACTACCTAACGTGAACGTTACTCCCCACCTTTTACGTTTTTTACGTTTTTACGTTGTTTTTACGTCACCCCCACCTTTTGCATGAGTATATACCACAATGAAAATACGTCCTTAGATGACACTCATTGCTTTGCTTTGGTGCATGGTGCAACCTCACCAAAGCAATGGTGGCACCATTGCTTTGGTGAGGTTCAGATAGCCTCATGGGATGCTATACCATAGAAAGGTTAAACAAAATGAGAAAATTCGGATTTTCTGAAGGAACTTTGGGGCATGAATTCAACTATATGAATGCTGGACGCCATAGATAAACTAATCCCAAAGGCGACCTTAATAATACATTTACATTATATTATTATTGGAATTGTCACAATATACTAGCAATGTGGATGTATTCAAACTGTAGTGTGTCCAGGTTCAAATACAGGGTGTCCCACTCGAAACTGACCCTTTAAAATTGCTAATAAGTCGGGAACGCGTGAACGTAAAGACAAGCTGTAAAAAGCTGAAAATACCTTATTTAGTGCCAAACAAATCCACATTACAGCAAGTGTTGAAAGTGTCCTCCCCCGACGTCCACACACAATTCAACACGACGCTGCATATTTGCGAATGTCCTGCGCAGCATGTCACTGTCGATGGCAGCAATTTCACGCTGGATGTTTCCTTTCAGTTGTCCGATAGTCCTCGGTTTGTTCGCATAAACCTTGCCTTTCAAATGTCCCCACAGGAATAAATCTGGCGGAGTTAAATCGGGCGATCTCGGTGGCCACAAACCTTTCGAGATGACCCCATCTCCAAAAAACGCCTGGATCTCATCCATACTGGCATTCGACGTATGGCACGTCGCTCCGTCCTGTTGAAAGTAACCTTCTTGAAGTTCATAATCGTTCAGTTAATTCACAAATTCGGTAAATATGGACAAATATCGGTTGGTATTCACAGTGTCTTCAAAGAAAATTGGACCAATAATGCGAGAACGGGAGATCGCACACCACACTCCAATATTCTGGTCATGTAAGAGCGACTCGTGTAAGCCATGGGGATTTTCTGTGGCCGATATACGGGTGTTTTGCGAGTTCAGGTACCCAGACAGATGAAACCATGCTTCATCGGTAAACCAAGTGATGTCGAGGAGAAATGAATAGATTGCGAAAAATTGGACAATCGGACAAAACCATTGGCAATATGCAACACGTTTTTGAAGAACCGGTGCCTTTAGCTCCTGAACTGCCGTGACGCGGTATGGCTTAATTTTCCCTTTTTTGGCGGCTCGGTGACAGGTGGAACGTGAGTACTCGGTTTCTTGTGCCAAACGACGTAATGATTTTCGTGGAGAACGTTGCAAACGGTCCTTCACATCTTGCACAATCTCATCAGCCATTGCAGGTCGTCCTCCAGAATGCACATTCAGCATGCTTCCCGTCGTTTCCAACTTTTTTGACAATGTTTTAATGGTGTTCTTGCAAGGGACGCTTCTTCCTCCAAATTTCTTTCGGCATTCTTTCTGACATTGGGTTATTGACCCGGTGATCCAGTAGGTTTTCACAATCAGCACTTTCTCTGCTACGGTTTACCGCATCGTTGCTTTCTGCACGGTGTGGAAGGAAATAAGGCAGGCAGACTGGGGCGCAGCCAGCCGACTGCGCCGCTGTGGCGTCCACCATCCTTTCCCCTCTTTATGACATGCAATTGATGCTACATGAAATGAGGAACATTTTGAGCCCGGTACTGTGTTTATAAGTTTGCGCGTTCCCGACTTATTCGCAATTTTATAGGGTCAGTTTCGAGTGAGACACCCTGTATATGGCATATATACTGTATATCAGGATTTCGATAATGTGACAGTTTTGGACAGGATTACTTTCCGGAAATACTATTTCCGGTATTTCTCAAGCTCTTTACATGGTACACTTACAAATGGAATGAAAACATTTGGTGAAACGGACAGAGAGATACAGAGATGTTGTTGGTGATATACCTGAAAGAGCTGGGCAATGTCTTTACATTTTCTTGTTCAAAATAAATTAAAATTCAATGTAATTTTAATTACCGTAACGTTTTCAAAATGCACACGTGCTTCCCAAGCCGTGTTGAGAAATATTTTTAAGAAAAAAAATTCTCAACAATCAGAATTTTAGAAAAGACATGATTA